ACAGAGACAGTCGGACTTTGTATAAAGGGCAAAGATGGGTCCGGAAAAGGGCAGGTGGCACTCCTAGTCCTAGATTCAGCCGTCCCCGGTGACCGGCTGATCACTAACCTAGGCCGTGTCGTGTGCTTCCGTGGTGCCATTTCAAAAAAGAATAAAATAAAGAGAAAATTAAGAGTAAGAGAACCGACGGTTACCTGAACGAGTGACGTTGATGAAGTTCTGAAAATCCTTTGCAGTCGGCTTGTCAGAACAGGCGGTAGGAAGAAAGGGTCTAAAATGTCAGAGCAAGTTCAGGGGTCCGAATGTTCTCTCACAAAGTTCTCAAGTGTGAAAATGACCGAAGTCAACACTCCTTTATATAGGCAAAGTGAGAAGGCGAAGGGTCACTTCCAGAATTCAAAATTTTGGCGGGAGAATCTCTCGGCCTTTCGCCGAGTGACACCTGTAGCAGGCCGTCGCCTGTTACAGGGCGACACTTGTCACAGGTAACACGTGACCAGTCACGTGCCACCTGTGAGGGGCAAATGATTAGGGGATTTTGCTCCCACCAATCGGAATGCGCCACGTGGGCCAATCAGGTCCTGCCAAGTGTCCCCCAGTTGGACCTCTCAAGGCTTGCCACGTGGCACACGCTTATTCGTCCACCCTGGACCTATTATGTCATGACACGTGGCATACTCCATGCCTAATGGAGAAGCCGACCACCTAGGCCCAACTTCCGAGGGAAGCCCAATCAGCCCAAGGTTAACCTAAACCTAGGATTGGCACGTTTCCCGAGGTTATAAATACCTCCCTTAATCCTCATTAAGGGAGATTACACACATTAAACACTCTCACCTAGAGAGACCCAATCACTTTAATTTCGCATTAATTACTCCTTGAGCAAGTACTAACTTGACCGTCGGAGGCGGATCTCCAATCATCCGGAGCATCCGTTTGTTTTGCAGGTACAGGCGTCCGGTTCCAGTCTCGGAATTGTAACTCTCCCGCAGGACATCAGAAAACCCCGAAACACCTGTGTTGTTTGCAGTTTTACTCTGCTGTTTTTGTAGTGTTCCTTTGTCTGGTCCTGGTTCCCAAAACCCTTCCTAGAAGGTGGCTGGGAATATGAGTCTAGTAGGTGCCTTTAGACCTCCCTAGAACCCTTCCTAGAAGGTGGCTATGTTGGTTTATGGGCTGTTGGTGGTGGTTTGGCCTGGTTCAGGTCTTTTGGTGTTTTGTAGTTGTTACAGCTCTGTTTTGTAAGTTGTAACTTCCCTTTTCTGGTAATAAAATCTCCATTTACCAAAAAAAAAAATATTTTTATTTTAATTCTTATATTTCTGAATAATTTTTATTTGCTGCCTGTTTTGAGCTGTTGTTGTAAGGATTTTGCCGCCTTCTGAGCGGTTTTAATTTATGCCAATTTGTCACCTTCTAAGCGGTTTTCTGCATTTTTGTACTTAGCAATTTTTTTCCGTACTTAGCAATTTTTGTTATATATATATATATATATATATATATATAATATATATATATATATATATAATATATATATATATATATATATATGTATGTATATGTATATATATATATACATATAGCAATTTTTTCCGTGCTTATTGTTTTTTTGTACGAGTACTGGGGGTATGCCCCTTTATTCGGCGTTTGCCTAGTCTAAATTCCGAGTAGTTTGATTAACTTAGTAGATTTATACCTTGAAGGGTATGATTACTAGTTAGTTAATCAAATCATGTACTCCCTTCGTTTTTAAATACTTGCTCCATTTCTCTTGGACACGCATGCCGATGTTAATCTTTTATCACTAATATCTTTAATGATCAATAAGTATAAATTTTAACAATTGAAAATTAATAATCTATTCATTGAGATGATTCCAACAAGTACTCACAAGACTACATTTTTTCTTATGTATAAATCACAAACATTAGTCAAAGTAGGATAAATAAATAGTGCAAAAAATAGAAATGGAGCAAGTATTTAAAAACGGAGGGAGTATAATGATTGCCCTTAGGCTAGGTGAACGGCGAATCAATTTTTAGAGTATACAACCTTTGCTAGCTTTGGTTGAGTCGTCCGTTGAAGCTATCGCTCGAACAGACTCAAGAAATTCCAAGTATGGTCTCAACTTGTGAATTTCCATTCATTAGGCTCGGTTTCCTAGGGAAATATTTGCCCTTAGCTGGGCAATTTACGCCTTAGGCCATTTTTATTTCCCTTCTAGTCTACTATTCGTCCTGATGGGGTCGAACGGTTAGGCTGGCCCTTAGGCTTGTTGGCCGAGTGGCTAATCAAATTGTGCCCTTGCCACATTCAGTAGTCGGCATTTTATTAGAACGCGACCGAATGATTTGGCATTCCCTTTCCTAACTTTATAGTCGGCCAACACATGGCTGGTAGCCGAATATCTAGTGTTAGGATTTTCACTCGGCCGATGCTGATCATCGTTTGATGCAGTGTGGTCGAGCCAATCTGTTATGTTGGACTCTCATTGAGGTCCTACTCGATGCACACTTCTTGCCCTTATTTGGAAAGACCGAGTTGCTATGTTGAGGCAACATTGATTTCACTTTTCAGGCGGCCGTCAGGCTTATTTTGTGGTGGCCGACCAGCATATCTGTGAGCCACCATGTTTCAATTTCATTCGGCATTTTCAGCTTGCTATAATTATGGTCATAAATATAGAAAATGAAATTAACAACAATGCTTGACTTTTCATTAATATTTGTCAAAATTTTACATTGTTGGTGGCTGTTTTGCTTAATTACATCATTCGGCCATGAAGGCTTAGTTAAACTACTTGATCATAAAGACTGATGCAAAATTTGGCTGGTAAGCTTTAAACAAAATATTTTTTTAGATTGTCCGTATTCCATGTTTGAGGAATAGGACGGCCATCCAAGGCTTTAAGACGATAGGTTCCATCTCTCACTTCTTCGGTAATCCGGTAGGGCCCTTCCCAATTTGGGGTCAATTTCCCATCTTCGTTAGCTCGACCTACCACTTACATCTTCCTTAGAACTAAATCCCCCATCTTTAGCGGACGCTTAGACACTCGGCGGTTATATGCCCTTGTAATCCTCAAACGATAGATTTTGTGCCTGAGTGCCGCATTGCCCTTGGCTTCTGGAAGGAAGTCTAGAGCGGTCTTCATGGCCTCCGAATTGGTTGATTCATCATATAATATCACCCGAAGGGTAGGCTCGTACATTTCAATTGGGAGTACTGCTTCAACACCATAGACCAAAAAGAATGGGGTCTCTCTTGTGGAATTTTTTTATTGTTGTTCGTATGGACCATAACACATTAACCAGCTCATCTGCCCATAGGCTGCCTACTTTTTCAAGCTTGCGCTTGATGCCATTGGAGATTAACTTGTTATAGGCCTCAACTTGGCCGTTGGCTTGTGGTTGGCCGATCGAGGCAAAGCAATGAGTGATGCCCTGGTCTCCCAACCATTCTTTGAGCTGGCGCGTTTCGAATTGGGGTCCATTATCGAACACCATTGACTGTGGAACTCCATAGCGAGTAATTATATTTTTCCAAATAAAAGCTGACACATCCGTCCACTTAATTCCTCGGACGGCCTCGGCTTCAACCCACTTTGTGAAGTAGTCGACTGCATAGCGTCTGCGTTTAAAGTAGGCTAGTAATACCCTACGTGGGTGGCCTTCTCGGCCAAGGCTCGTCCTCCAATATGCGAATCGCAATATCCTAGGTGGAGGTCGTCCTGCACACCATTCCCTTTCTCTGAGGTTATACATTTCAAGTAAGGTTTCACAAAGGCTTTCTTGAATAACTCCTCGTTCTTCATATCGAACCAAACTACTCTCTTTTACATCAACCAGCTCTCTTTTGGATCAGCCGGAAGCAATCCATCCCTCAGATAGGAAATAATTCCGTCCATCCAAGTTGAACTTCTATCAATGGTCTGTATTGGCTCGGCATCAATACTCCTCTTTTCCTTCACTTCCCAAAACACCGATCTCGGAGTATCACATGATGTCGAGGACGCTAATTTGGAGTGGGCGTCCCTTTGATGATTGGACGAACGGGGTACTTGCTGCAAAGTAAAATGCTTTAGGCTCTCGACCTCTTCTTTAACCATTTTCAAATACTTTATCATATCCGGCTCCCAAGCCTCGTAGTCGCCATTCACATAGCTGACAATTAGCTGGGAATCCGAGCTCATATCAATCTTTGTTGCTCCTGTCGCCTTAGACATTCTAAGGCCGACTAGGAGAGCTTCATACTCAGCCTCGTTATTAGAGGCTTGGAATTGAAATCTCAGTGCATATTAAAACTTATCTCCTTCGGGAGACTGACAGATAGTTCTAGCACCGCATCCGGTTGCTGTTGCACTTCCGTCCACATAGACCTTCCATATCAGATCCCCGACCGGCTGTAAGTTCGGCCTAGTCATTTCTGCCAAAAAATTAGCAAAGGCTTGCCCCTTGATTGCTTTTTTGGGTTTGAGTGTGATGTCAAAATCCCTAAGCTCCAAGGCCACTTAAGCATTCGACCACTGGCTTCCAAGGTTGTTAACGGCTTCTTAAGCGGCTGACCAGTATAAAAAACAATCGAGTGGGCTAAAAAATACGGCCGCGGCTTCTTGGATGCCATAAACAAGGCCAGACCAAACTTCTCGATGGGCGGGTACCTAAGTTCGGCATTACGCAGCACGTGGCTGATGAAATAGACAAGGATCTGATTGTCGTCCCTTTCAACAAGAAGGACGACAATTAAGGAGTAATCTGAAATAGCGAGATACATGTATAGCTCACTAGTGGAAAAAACATCATTCGTAACATCTCATTTGTAACAGGCATTATTAAATCCGTTACAAAAAAATTATTCGTAATGGGCAATATACATGACCGATACAAATAACAACTTTTTGTAACGGGCAAAATAATGCCCATTACGAATAATCATTTAATTGTAACAGACAATATACTGCCCGATACAAAAAGGCTTTTAATGGGGCGAAATTCACTGAAAGGAGTAAGCCCATTACACTAGAGTATTAGGGTTTCAAAACATAGCCGTCAAGTAAACTACCACTTTCTCTGATTTCACTTCTCTCTATCTCGTGCTCTCTCTCTTCATTATCTCTATCCATTCTCAATCTCCTTCCTTCGTTTCTACTAAGAAATTCAAGTGGTTTTCTTCATTTTTGCGCAATTGTGTTAGAGATTCGAAACAAAGAGACGAATTTCTTATCTTTTTCTCTGAGGTATGATATCTTAATAAATTATGTTTTTGGATTTTAATTTTTTTTGCTTACATTTGGGATTTTGTGAAGTTTTATTTAATGAATTTTGTTGGATCTTGAAGACCTGATGGATTTTGAGGACTGGATTAATGTTGATTGAGATAATGAAGATAGTAAAAATGACGGTTTTGTTGATGGAGCTCGATAATTTCAAGGCAAATTGAAGAGATCCACTTCTTCTTCGCCCTCTCACTACCCCCTTTCCTCGTAACCTTATCATGCACAAATTATAGTTTCTTTGTACTCCCATCAAAGAAAATGGGTAATTATTCTTACTTTCTCTCTCCTCTATTACCCTCCATTTCTATTAGTGTTTTCCAACTTTAGCTTAAATGGTGGTACAATTTGATTTTTATAAGTGTTGGCTTTATTGATTTTGGGTGTTTTACAGGTATTTCTCGTAATTCTTTGTTTAAGAGGCGTGCCAGTGGACTATGATGTCAAGAAGAGCTGAAGAAGGTTTGGAGGTAAAAGCGTAAGTAAGTTTAATTTTTTACTTTTTCTCGAATTTTTTCTTTCAATTTATATTTGTGGGTCTTGATATGAACTTCAAGTTTTTGGGCTGAATTATGTTTTTGTGCTGCAATTGAATCTTTTAGATTGTTGGATTGGTTGGTTGATTATATTATTGTGAGATTTATAGTAGTATATATGTTGAATTAATTTGACTTAGTAGTAGTTAAAGCTTATTTTGATTTAAATTAAAGCTTATCAAGTAAATATGATATCATAATGGGTGAGATATATTGTTATTTTGGGGGTATGTACCTTCTGGCTCAACTTTTAACTTTCTAATTTGGAAACAAATTAGGAGATATTCCATGATGGTTGATCATTCGTGCAAATCATTTCTAACATTTCCAGAAATACTTTATTTTTCCTTCTATTAGGTTTAGGTTGCAGGTCAAATACGAGCTGAAAATGAGGACGGAAACCTGTCGTGCTAAAGCACTTGTATTGTTGAAATACAATCAAATCTGACTTTGCCTAAGAATGATATGTGTTGGTTATACTTTTGAAAATAATACTCTATGTCCACTTTGGAATTGTCCTTGTTATATCAACATGGAATTATCCTTTCCATAAGATAATACCTCGTAGTAATCTTCTATGATTCTGATTTGGATCCTAGACTTGTGTTTGTTATTAAGCAAAGGAACATGTTTTGTTTTTTTTTTTTTTGTATGTCATTGTCATTCTTACTTATACATATATAATAAATTGACACTATCTTGCATGTAAATATGTAATTATTCATTTCCTTGAATCAATTTTGCAAAAGAAAATCAATTTTTTTTCCTCTGACAACAGATTGCTTGCTATTTTCTTATGATACAGCTGACTGTTGATGCATTACCATTTGAAGGAGTCGGTGAGAGTGGTTGGATTTTGTAGGAAAGGCCAACTAGCATTTGAATTTGTCTTTGTGCATGCTATATTATCAACAAAGTATGTCTTAGTATTTTTTCTTGTTCCTGATTTGTTTTTCCTTGTTGATCTTTACTAATTTTTGTTTTGTATGTGGTTGTCATGTACTCCTCTAGGCATGCACGAACACTTTTTAGTGGTGATATGGAGAAAGTATTGAAGCTCTCTTCTAGTAGGCCTTGGCCAGAGACTTCTAGGTAGTTACCCTTTTTTAAAAAATATTATCCTCCTCTCTCTCATTGTGCATGTGTCATGCCACTACTAGTGTGAATCTTTTGCCCTATACCTTTTGCATCGGTTATAATTGACATACTACCATATTGTGTCATGGCTTTAAACTGGATATTAGATTTATAAATTCTCTGTGCCTTTTTTTTCCTTTTGCCTAAGAATATTATCTCTTACATTAGCTTTTTTACTCTATCTATTTCTTAACCCTGTAGCATATTTTCTAAAGAAGTTGCTGCTGAACATCTTTGCTATATGACTGATTGTTGCATGCAAGCATATTAGTTCTTCAGATAGATTGCTTTTATATAATGTTGTTGTTATCCATATGCTAGCAGATTAAACTCAAGTCTTTTCAGTAACTTAGTTGCCCCTTCTTTGGGTTTTTGGTTTTTGTCGGAGCAACGCGTGCCTCCAGTCCAACCATTGTTGAGTTATGCTAGGGTCACATTGACTTTTTTATTCGACATTCTTCATTCTCTTGTCAAATCAATTGCTTTCCATATTTCTCGCCCTTCTCTCTTGGAAATTCATGCCATGTAGCATTGGAGGTTGTGTTAACTGTACCTTTGGTAAATTACCATTTCATATAGGAAAATTTGCCAAGAATAATATGACCTTTCAGCGGTCTTCCAAGAATGGAATGACCTTTGAATTATTTCAAAATGGAACGACCTTTGATATACATTTGCCGAAAATATACCAAAAAACCTGTAACTTGTTTTACAGGTTACTTTGGACACGTGTCACATTTGTGATTGATTTAAACTTTATTTATTTTATTTTAACATTTTTCTTTTAATAATATGATATAACAAATAAAATTTAAATTAAATTTTTTAAAATTTTTTTTTTTTAAAAAAATAAAAAAACTGGAAAAAAACAAATCCCTCCCCCTTCCCGGCAGCCACCCACCACCACCTGCTATCCCCATCCCTAAACCCGCCGGTGGCCAAAGCCTATACCTAGTGTTGGCGGTACCCTCCTGACCCAGGCCTCGACTCCGACCACCCATCCACTCCCCTTGAACCACCACTCGAAAATTCAATGAGCCTAAAACCACCACTCGATTTTAAGGTTTTCGAGTGGTGGTTCAGGGGAGGAATGGATTGGAGATGGGCACCGGAGGGGCGTGATGGATTCGTCGGCAAAGGGTTGGGGCGCCGGTCGGCTGTGCGGTGAGGAGAGGTGGGTTTTCAAGAGGAGGGAGGGGGTTATAAGGTGGAGGGAAGGTGGTTTATTAAGGGAAGGCTAGGGGAGGGGCGTGTAGGCTCGAAATCTCGAATGGCCCTTGCGTGGCTGCAAGGGGGAGGTTTTTTTTTTTTTTTTTTGAATTTCAGTTTTCTTATTTAGTTTTGAAGTATTTTTTTATTTTAAATTTAAAAAAAAAAAACTGTTAAACAAATTGACCAACGACATTGTAACACGTGTCACTGATAACCTTCTAAATAGGTTACAAACAGGTCACGTTCTATTTATGGCAAATGTGTATCAAAGGTCGTTCCATTTTGGAATAATCCAAAGGTTGTTCTATTAATGGAAGACCGCTGAAAGGTCGTATTATTCTTGGCAAATTTTCCTTTCATATATAATTAGTTTTGAATTTCATTTAGTTTCTCCATATCAAATTCTTCTAAAATTATTAATAATTTCGTTTGGTAAATTTCTGCAGTTGATTCAATTTAGTTTTATATAAGATGCAAGAGAAGTAAAGAGATGGAAGAGGCTTCACAATCAGAGAAAGTTGATGTAATGCTCAATGGAGATTATCAACTTTGGAGTACTCTTATAAAGACGTTGAAAAGGCCTCGTAGAATTTCAATTGAGATTTTTTTTTTTTTTTTTTATAAGGCGACAATGAATGAAAGCACTGAAAATGTACACTATACTTTGTATAAATTATAATTTTATCATAAAGTTTGTGCTAAATATAAAATATAATTTTTTTTTTGAATTGTGTTATATATTATTTGTAACGGGCAAAATAGGTGCCTGTTACGAATAACGGGGTTATTTGTAACGGGTATTGAAGATGTTTGATACAAATAATTCGTAACGGACAGTGGAGATGCCCGTTATAAATAACCCGTTATTCATAACGGACACTTGTTTTGTACGTTACAAATAATGGGTTATTCGTAACGGGCATTTCAACCACCCATTACAAATAACCACTTATTCGTAACGGGCAGCGACCGTTACAAATACAAGGGGTTATCCGTAACGGCTAGTGCCCGTTACGAATAAGCCTTTTATGCCCGTTACGAATAGACTTTTTTCCACTAGTGGCTTTTCATCTTTGAGTAGACTAACAAGCTGAGGCAGTGTATGCATATGACTTTTCAGCTGTATAAAGGCTTTCTCGGCTTCTTCAGTCCACTCAAACTTAGCTTTCTTCTTGATAGTCTGATAAAAGTGTCGACACTTATCCCCTGATTTTGACAAAAATTGGCCGAGTGCAGCTAAACAGGCAGTCAATCCTTGCACTTCTTTGATCGTCCTCGACGACTTCATGTCTAAAACAACTTGAACTTTTTCAGGGTTGGCCTCAATTCCTCACTGTTCGATAAAAAACCCGAGAAATTCGCCGGACTCAATACCAAAGACGCATTTGTTTGAATTTAATATCATCTTACACCGGCTCTTTTGACTTGACAATCATGTCATCGATATATGCTTCCATGTTCGGCTGATCTGATCTCTAAAAACTGTATTGACAAGTCTCTAAAAAGTAGATGGGGCATTCTTGAGACCAAATGACATAACTTTATAGCAGTACAATCCTTGCTAGGTAATAAAAGCAGTTTTTTCATGATCTTCCTCGCACAATGGGATCTGGTGGAATCCATAGTATGCGTCGATAAAACTCATAAGGGCATGTCCAGCCGTAGAGTCGACCAGTCGGTCAATTTTTGGCAAAGGAAATCTATCCTTCGGACATGCCTTATTGATGTTGGTATAATCAACACACATTCTCCATGTTCCATTCGGCTTCTTAATAAGAACTACATTGGCTACCCAATTTGGGTAGTAACATTGCTGAATGAAACCGGCGTCCAGCAGCTTTCGTACTTCAACTGTGGCCGCCAGATTCCTCTCTTCCCCGTGATTCCGTTTCTTCAAACGGACGGGCTTAATAAGTGGATTAACAGATAACTTATGCACAGCCAGGTCTGGGCTAATACCCGGCATTTCACTTACTTCAAATGCAAAAACATCTTTGAATTCTCTTAGCAGCTTGAATAGGTCGTCCCCAAGTAATCCTACGGCTGTAGTGCCTACCTTGACCGTCCGATTAGGCTGGTCAGGATCCAGCACTATATCCTTGTGATCGCCGGCTGGCTGGGGCCTTAACTTTTCTAGCCGGCCGACGGTCATTAATGGCTATGCTTGCTCTTTCTTGGCCGCCTTTCTCTTTTGGCTGACCTGGTATGCTTGGAGTGACCCTTCATCCGAGTTTGGTTCAGAAGACTTTGTTGGACCACGAATAGTCGGCTTCACAACCAATTAATTACACTCTTTTGCCATTTTCTGACTTCCTTGGATCGAGCCAATCTGCCCGTCCGATCTTTCAAACTTCATTAACATAAGGTGCGGCACAATGACTACCTTGGCTGCGGTTAGAGTAGGACGACCGAGTATGACGTTATAGCGTATTAGATCTTTGACCACTAGGAAGCAGACCACCATGTCCCTTTCTGCCCCAGCCAGACCGGCAAGTCAATCTGACCGGCCGGGTGGATAACTGTCCCTTCAAATCCAACCAACGCGTGAGAGACGTTGTTCATAGCATATTCTGGGAATTTCAAAATTTTCAGACAGGAGAGGCTGATGATGTTGAACAAGCTGCTCGTATCGATTAGTATCCTCTTAACCTTCAAATTGGCTATCTTCAGAATAAATGCCATTGGATCATTGTGCAAGGCCTTGACCTCTCCTCGTCAGCCTCACTCACTGTTACCTTTGGGAAAGGCTCGACCTTAACTCTTTTGGCATGCATTACTTCTTTTCCCAAATTCCATGCATCCTGCTTAATTCCCCTCATGGTTGGGCCGCCTGCAGCAAAGACGCCTGATATGACAGCCACAAAACCAGAGTCCGTGCTGTTTCCATCTTTTTCCTTCTCATATTGCTTTTTTCTTCTCAGACTTATTGTCTGTCCGATTATATGTTAACTTGGACTTCATCACGTACAAATTGAGCATGCCCTTCTCGGCCAGCTTGTCTAGCAACCTCTTCAAATTGTTACACTCGTTTGTATCATGCCCCACGTCCTTGTGGTAATGAAAATACTTGTTTTTGTTTCTGTACTGGACCGAGCCTCTCATCGGTGTGTTTCAAATTCAAATTATCTTTGATCTCCATCAAAATTTAATAAGAATCCTTGTTAAACTCATACTGTGGTTCGTACGTCTTTGGCTTCTTTGACTTGGTTTCTAGGTCATCAGACACCCAAACTTCCTTTCTCTTGTTCTTTCCCTCTTTCTTTTTCCCAGCCGATTCTTGCTAAGAAGATTGTTTCTTCTTAGCCTCCTTGGCCGGTACTTCAGCTTTAGTGATTGAACAGAAGTCTGTCGCCTCAATATAGGCTTCGGCTTCCTACAGAACGCCTGTGTATGTCCGAACCTTTTTGCGGACCAAGTTAAATTTGAAACCATTATGCCTTAACCCCCGGAGAAATTTCGAATCGGCCATTTCATCCGGTAGATTATGAATTTGGGATTTTTCTTAATTAAATCTCTGGACATACGAACACAAACCTTCACTCTTGGCCTGAACAATTGTAGCCAAATTAAGGCTAGTCTTCCTTGGTGGGATGTTGTATGAAAAGTTTCCAACGAACAACATGCTTAACGTGGTAAAACAGTTGATGCATCCGACCGAAAGACTGTTGAACCAGTCCTGCGCCACACCCTTTAGGGTGGCCAGCAAGCATCTGCACCAAGTGGCATCATCCATACATTGCAAGTACATAAGATTCCAATATGAATTGATGTGCTCTTCCGGGTTGCCTGTACCATCATAGGCACCCACAAGTACACTTTTCACCTTCGTAGGCTGAGGAGTGTTAAGAATCTCTTGAGAAAACGGAGGTGGTTTGTCTCCAAGGTTTAGCATGCACATCTGCCATTTAATGGGCTGCGGCTGAGTAACTGGTCCGGCCAAGTAAGTAGCTTGGTCGAACGGCTGACCGAATTGCCCATACTGTCCAAAGACAGGATGGTTGGTCGACGGAAAGGTGTTAAAATTCCGGAGAGGTGGATATTGAAACGGTTGCAATGGAGCAATTGGGATTGGCATTTGAGTCCGATGAGCTTGACTCCCACGAGTCCTGGTTGTGCTGGTACGCTTGGAGGAGGTATGGTTTGAGAGATCATTCGACATTGAAGGTGTAGAGGCTGTGTCCTAATAAGCTATTCGTTCACGCTGCTTGTGCCGGAGGTAATCCCTAGCATCCTTCCAACGCTGAGACGGCTCAGTAAACTCTTTCTGAGGCCGTCTGGCCTGCCCCCCAGCCAACTGCGTTTTGTCAAGGGGCCAAGTCATATATGCCCTTGGCACACGCTCGTGCCGGTGGTATGGGGTATTCCACTACTAGAAAACCCGTTTTTGACAGAATTTCCGTCAAAGCGGTTGTTGCAAAAGGTATTATCGGAAAATTGATGTTTTCCGACGAAAATTTCGTCGGAACCAGTTTTCCGACGAAATTTTCTTTCGGACGACAAATTCTGGCCCAGGAAAGTCTGTCGGATATTATTCCACCGGAAAATTCCGACGGAAATTCCGTCGGAAAATTCAATTAAAAAAAAAACTGAACCCCACCCCAGAACCACCAGCTCCTACTTCGAACCACCAGCCCCCATCCAGTTTCACCAGCCCACACCTAGAACCACCAGCCCCAACCCCAGAACCACCAGCCCATTCTTATCCCACCACCACCGACACTACTACACCAAAAATGAACCCCAAAAAACAAAAATCATTCCCGAAAACACCAAAAAAAACGAAAATTAAACACCAAAAAACGAAAACTAAACCCAAAAACACGAAAATCAACCCCAACGAAACAAACCCCCCCCCCAAAACGAAAATTAACACCAAAAAACAAAAATTAGCTCAAAAATCTTAAAATTAACAACGAAATAGAAAAATCCACACAATTATCCAATAAAATTCATAAATTAACATAACAATTACAAAAATATACAATTATCCAATAAAATTCATAAATTTACGTAACAATTACAAAAAAATTAACTAGATCTACAATCTAACCTAAATTAAGAGTAGATCTACTAAACAAAAACCTTGAGAGTTGTCGGCTTTGTTATTGTTGCGTCATTGTTGTTGCTGTTGCATTGTTGCTGTCGATGTTGGTGGTGGTTGACATTGTAGCATTGTTGATGTTGCAACGGTCGATTTTGGTGGTGGTTGACGTTGCAGTCGATGCTGGTGGTGGCCGGAGAGAAACAAGATAAAGATAAGAGGAAAGGGAAGAGGAGAAGATAGAGAAAACGAGAGGGAGGATTGGAGAAAAGTAGAGGAGAAGAGACGGAGAGGAGGGGCAGAAGGAAAAGAGGAAAGAGAAGAGGAGAGAGAATGAGAATGAGAAGAGGAAACTGAAAAGAGGCGGAGAGGAGTTAGATATTTAAGGTTTTGTTTTTAAAACAGCTGATTTTAAAAAAGAAAAAAATATTAATTTCGACGGAAATTCCGTCATAAATATCTGACGGATATAAATTTCGTCGGAAAATTAAATTTCCGACGAAATAATTCGTCGGAAAGGAATAATTTTCCGACGGAATTTTCGATTTCGTCGGAAATATACGACGGAATATAATTCCGTCGAAAATTTTGGTTTTTCCAACGAAATTTCATGTCCGTCGGAACGTTGCCGTCAGAATTCCACCTGATTCTTGTGGTGTTCCTAGCATCATCGACATTAGCG